TTTTTTTTTATTGTTTCAAAAATTTTCTTGAAAAGTTAAAAATAAAAACAGAAAAAAGGGGAATGATTTAAGTAAAACAGAATTTAATTTTTGTTCAAAAGAACGTTTCAAAACTTTTTTTTTGCTAATAACTTTTTTTGATCAGCTACTGATATCTTGTCACCATACTTAAAAGCACCAAAGTTTGATGGGAACGGAGGTCAGGGGTTAAAAGTTTTTCCTATTTTTACAACCAAGATCAACAGTAAATGTAACTTGTTACACTTATTAGATATAAGTTTCCTTTTGTGATGAGCATGAAGACCTGTTTTTCTTTTCGTTTTTTTTTTAAATTTCCATTCTTTAAAAAGTTTTCTGTAATCTCTAATTAAAAAAAAAACCAAAAATAAGATGCTGGGAATTTTTTCACACGATTACTATAGGTTTTTCTTTGGACAGTACATACCTGGACAGCATAATTCTTTGTCTGCTAGTCTTAGATAAGATTAATACCTTTCAGGATGGTTTTAAATTGTTTTCTTTTTACCGTATTTGATGGCATATAAGGTGCACTTTTTTTTACTAAAAATATCTTTTAAAATTTCCCTGTGTCTTATATGCCATATGTAGGTTTAAAATTTGTGATAACTGTTGTGAAATCTTTTAAAAAGTGTCGCATTAGCAATGCTCTCAATGGAACGGAAGATGACGCATTATTTAACGACGATGATAGCAGTATTGAAAATGAGTATCAGAGTTTTGATAATGAAGACGATGAATTTTATGGATTTGAAGATGAATAAAATTTTAATGATAATTCTTCTGTTTTGCTCAATTGTAATCATCACATGATTTTTATTTTGTTATCTTACCTTTGGATATAATAAAGTTTTTATAGGCTCTTGTTCTTTTTTCTTCTTATTTTTTGTTTAATTGTAATCATGGCTTGTTTAACCAAAATAATACGTCATAAACATAGCCTAGGCTGTACGACTTACTAATAATTTTACTAATTACTAATTTTTTTTTTCTTGATTTTCCCTGCTGAAATTGGGGTGCGGCTTATATGCTGTCAAATACGGTAAATCGTTTTTGATTGTCTTCTTCCATAAATTTCATCTTTAAATTTTTTAAAAATCTGAAAAGAGGTAGAATTTCATTAAACCTATTGCAATGCACCCTCATTAATCTGGCACTCCTTGATCCAACAACTCCCATGGTTCAGTACTTTTTTTTTTTTTAATCAGTCACCATTAGTTTGTTGAGTGTCTAAGAGGGCACTGCCACATGTTTACAACTTTCCGCACAGCAGCTGACAGCAGCAGAGTGTTTTGGTCTTGCTCACTTCTTATTCATAGCTGCATATTTAACCATTCATGATAATAAGTATGTATTATCATGAATGGTTTTAGGCTTTGTTTAGCCTTTGTCTTGCATGAAACAATTAAAACCTTGTTTGGAAACGTTAATGATTGTTTCATATTCAGTTTTAAGCTTTGTTCTACATTTTGATGTGAAAGGAACTGGCTAAACTATCTTTATATAGTTTTTTTTTTTTTTTTTTTTTTTTTTTTAGGGGGTCCAGCAGTGGCCTGGATCTAAGGGTGCCAGATTAAAAAGGTTGGACTGTATTATTTTATATTTTTTTCGTACCAAGACTCGATTTTTCTCACTCTTCCCAGTAACTTTTAAATCAATTCACTTTTATTGTAGTGTCTGATAAAAAGCACATAAATGCAATATTTCTTAAAATGAAAATCATGCGTTCATTTTTAAAGAAAGTCCAGATCTGATATATTTGCACTGCTTTTTTTTCTAACTCTTTGTACATGGCAACCTTTACTCGTCTTTCATTAGGACTAAAGATTTTGCAGACATGTGACCGACATTACTGTTCCTTTCTTTTTAGAACAAAATTTTTTTATACTAATGTTCATCTGATACAAGGCCTAAGAGCCACTCAAGCTAGAGGGTTACTGTGTGGTGTTGCATGAACATAAGAAAAAGCAAGAAATGTAGTTTATGCAGGAAAGATAGTGGTTAAGATTGTAGTAATTGGGAAAAAATCTTGCTAGGAGACAGTTCCACTAAACAGCAATTTTGGAAAGAATCTGTCTAAGCAGAACTTACTTTCTTACTGTTGAAATACAAAGGGAATGAGGATGATTCACCCTTGTGTACATGACAGGGTGAGTTCCAGGTGTAAAGGTCAAAGTTGGTGGAACAAAAGAGACTAACTCATCAGAACCTGATGGCCTGGAAATGGTGATAGAGCAGTGAAAGTTTTGCAATGTTTCGTCTGTGCAAATGCAATTGTAAGGGTGAAAATAATTCATCACCTACAAGGCTGCATAGATACTTTTGAACTCTGTGAAGACAGGCAAGTGAGAATTGTGCAGCTCCAGTCCAGATATCACAGCAGTGTTCCATTTCTGGTCTGTTCTGGCTCTTGTAACAGAGGGAGTCAGATATTTACTGGAGCGGTAAAAGGAAGCAACCATTTTTCCAGCATCTTTAGCAATAGATCGGCTATATGAGTTCCACTTGAGGTCTGAAAAGAACTTCACTCTCAACAGAGGTTCAAGTCAAGGAGCTTCCTTGAAAGAACACCCATCCATCAATATAGGTAAAAGTTCAGGGTCTCTTCTCAGTGGTAGCAAAAACTTACAAGTTTGTACACTATTTACATTATTCAGGCTATTGTCCTCACATTTCAGCCGTTGTACTCTCCAGCCTTCTTCAGGTGGATGGAATATTGAACTGAACCCTTTATTTCACTCGCTAGGGTAGACTGTTCTAGTTCCACGTACCATGTCTAATGGATGTCAATTATTAGTTATCTCCTGTTAATTCCCCTCTCCACCACCTTAACCAGGTATTGAACTCACACACTCTGGGTCCTGTCACTGTGCCATGTCTCAAGGACACATGGCACAGTGGATAAAGGCGCTAGTTAGATCCAGTGACAGGACCCAAAGAGTATGAGTTCAATACCTGGTTAAGGTGGTGGAGAGGGGAATTAACAGGAGATTACTGATAACTGACATCCATTAGACATGGCACGTGGAACTAGAACAGTCTACCCCAGCGAGTGAAATAAAAGGTTCCAGTTCGACATTCCAACCACCTGAAGAAGATCAGAGTGTACAATGGCCGAAATGTTGTAATAAATATGGTGACAAAGATGAAGACAATAGTCCGAATAATGTAAACAGTGTACATAATATCTCATCTCAGAAATATAGATAGATTACAAGTTTGGTTTTGGCCAGTCCTTCCCCCAGCTGAGCCACCTGGGTCAGAGGTCAGATGAACTGCTAGCTTCTTGTCTTCCAGATTTTTAGAGGTGCATCTATAAACTGTTGTATCATCTGCATAGATACTCACTAATGATTGAAGTATGCACTTTGCCAGATCATTCAGTATGCAGTCAAAACAATAGCACATGACTGTTGCAAAGATGAACTCACAGTTAGACCCACATTTGTTTTGTTTGATATAATCTTAACCATGTCTACTAGTGAGTATCACTGATTTTACTAGTACAAAATTGACCACAAAAAAGTTACAAAAAAAAACTTACTTTTTTAATCTACTTTATTAAACTTGTCTATAATTTTCTTTTTAATACTCACATTCGCCTATTATAAAAGCCCAAGAGCCACTCAAGGTAGAGTGTTACTGACCATAAGAAGAAGTAGAAGGATAGTTAATGATTGACCCTTGACTTGAAGAGGTCATGATTATAGTGTTCAAAGAAGCATCCACATGGTAGTTTGTTATACAGGGTAGCAGTTCTCAAGAAAGAAAAAAAGAACTGAGTAGAACTTCATCCTTACAAATGGAATATGGAGGAAATGTGGAAAGATTCATAGATATAAAATGGTGCATCCTGCACTGGGTTGGAACTTAAACAGTGTTTTTTGGTTTTTTTTTTTTTTTGTAAATCAATGAAAAATTTTAATGAAATTTATTTTATCAATTACTTAACACAGGTCCTTAAACAGGCAACTGTTATTATTTGGTAGAGTTATTAGTTCAAAGGTCACCTGCACTGTCCAAATAGAACCTTAACAAACCTAACATCTGAGGGGTTTGCTTCCTTATATACAAATCTGGAAGAAACACTTAATACTAGGTTGACCAGAAAGTCCTGTCTAACTTGGGAAGTGAAAAGAAAACAACAAATCTTGATCTCTGTCTGGAGGAATTTCCAAGAAGAACTTCATTTCAAACCTGTTCCACATGGTCACACCATCAATGCTAAATAGTATTGCCAGCAGCTAGACTGAGTGTATGACAAACTAAAGGAGTATCCTGCTTTGGTCAGTTGAGGTTGGGCTTTGTTTCAGCAAGACAATGCGAGGCCACACACTGCCAGGTTGACGAAGGAGAAGTTTAAACAGATGGACGGTGTTGAGACTCTTCCACATCCACCATTCAGTCCCAATGTTGCTCCAAATGACTATGGCCTATTCTGCTCAATGGCACACTTCAAACGCGACCAGCAATTCAACACTTTCGATGAAGTAAAGGGAACTTGGTTACAGTTTTTGATTCAAAGCCAGCAAAGTGGTATCTGGGACAGATTCGCATGCTGGCTGATCGCTGACAGAAGATTGTCAAGAATGATGGAATTTATTTTGAAGAATAAATGTTGGGGTTGCTCCATAAAATTGTGTTGTTTTCTTTCCGCTTCCTAAGTAAGGACTTTCTAATATTCAGAATAGTCTTTTAAATCTTTTTTTGTTTTTTTTTAAAATAAAGTGACAGAATGAAAAAAAGAATAAGAGAAAGAGATTTTTTGTTTCACTTTGATAAACATGTGAACACAGAAACATGAAGGATCATTTAAAAAAAAAAAAAAAAAATTCAAGATATGTGATGAAAGAACTCATTTTTTTTTTCCCTTTTTATAGTAAAAACAATATACAATGTCTTTAACAAATTTTCTCTGTCTCTTTCTCTCTCTTTTATTTTATTTAATTTCTTTCTTCATTCTCTCTCTTTCTCTCTCAATTTCATTCAAACTTAGTGACATCATCCCCAAAAATATATGGCCCAAATTGGAAGAGATCTGGGTGGCCAATATGTGATACTGTATTCTTGAAATCTGACTTGCTCCATTGGAAAGGTGCTACTTGATCGTAGGTTGGCCCAGCAATAGCGACAAATTGGAGATTGCGGGCAAGAGAACTGTTGGTCAGCTACAAAACAAGAAATAAAATAATATCAGGCACTTCTCTTTACTGGAATATATGCTGTGTTAATAATAAGAAATCAATATGAGTTAGAGGGTAGCAGCAGCCATTTTTAATTCTGAAGTTTTCTTTGGTTTACGACTTAAAATAAAAGTTTGAGTTGTAAAATTGGATGTAATAATAAATAAAAAATAAACAGGACTGATTTCTTTCAGAATCTTCTTCTATTGCCATGTCCAGTCAAGTCATGAGTGATGATGGCTTCCCACAATTTCCTGTCCTTTGTAGCTCTTAACAAGGTTTGTCTGTGTTGTAGCATACCCACGGACAATAATGGATATGTCCACATTCACATAAATACAGTAGTGAATACTGTATGTTGGTCTGCAGTTGGAGATTCATTGTGAAATTCACTTGACTCACTTCTAGCAGTTGACTACTTCTTCTATGTGCCACTTGTGAATCTTGTATGTGTTGTTCTTGTCCTACATACTATCGTTCATTACTAACCTTCGTGTGATTATTCTATTCAGTAACCTTCCCTAGGTTAAAACAGTGTTAGCAATCCCTCCTACTCGCTGTTCAGCCAACCATTTGAACAACACCAGTATGATCCCTGAAGTTAAGCAACGTCGAGCCTGGTCAGTATTTGGATGGGTGACTGTTTGGGAATACCAGGTGCTGTAAGCTTGGAGGTGCAGGTGGTGTAGTGGGAATTGTCTCAAAATTGTTAATTGGAGAGCCGAATTCAGTTCCTTGGAGCAGCTGTTTGCTGGAAGGAGCTGCCTGAGTGGCGCTTACAACTCACCAATGGACTACAAAGGGGATGAGAGTGGTTTGCTGCAATGGTTGTGGCAAGATGGGATCTTAGCCTTGAGAGTTAGAACTGGCACAACTAAGGAATATAGTTCAACTGAACACTTTCCATGGAAATAGCAATATAACAGCAAGAGGCTTGCAACTTTTCATCTGTGGGAAAAGGGGTTATAGGTCAGAAAATATTTCATCACCCACAAGGACAACCACATATGGCAAACAGTATTTCATTTTCTGTCTCATCTGGCTCTTGCAAAGGTAGAGGATAACATGAGGAGTCAGGTACTTACTCAGCAGTATAGGGAACTGACCATTTTTCCAGCATCTTTAGCGATGGATCATATGTACAATTTCCACTTGAGGTCTGGATTGACTTTAAGGTCCAGCATGGGGCCTCCCTGAAGTAACATCCATTCATCATGATTGGAATGTCACTAGTTTGGTCTTCAAAGCATTAAATGTAACAAGCTAGTTTTTGCCCCACTGATCTGTTAGAGCTCGATCAGAGGAGAGATCACTTGCTAATCTCTGGTCATCTAGATTTTCTCTCTGTACAGCATTTAGTTGATTTGTTCTCATACAAATGTACATGGCCCTTGTTCTTTCAATAATTCTTTATGTGCCTCTTTTTTCCTTACCACATGATCAGCTATACCTGATGTTTGAATTATTCCACATGATCAGCTATACTTGATTTGGCAAAGATCATTTTTTTCCTGAAAATTTGGAATAATCCAAGAAATAGTCTCAAAAAACACTGACAGTAAGTTTGAACTTTTCTAAGTGCTACGAAAACTTAGATTTAGATTAAACAAAAAAAAGAGTGCATTTGAAACTCACCTTCATGTCAGTGCCTCCATGAGGACGATGGCCCAAGAAATTTTGTGGATATGAACCATTGGCAGGATTTAAATCTGACCTGGCTGAGATGGCCAACTCTGCATTTCCTTGGGGTGTGCAGTTACATTTGGATAGAGGGTCATGAGTGAAATCATTGTACCTGTGGTCAAAGAGAAAAAAAATATATTTAAATAATTGGGATATTCATTAAAATTATCTCATTCTAATACAGGAGTTACCATTTTTGCGGATCTGTTTATCTGTAAGCAAATATATGGATATAGATCCGACAGTATGAAGAAAAATATATACGGAAAAAACAAACAAAAATCCTTATATACAATTATGCAGTTTTAATGTTAATATGTCAACGTCGGACGTTTCAGTCTAATAAACCATCTTCAGGACATATTCATAAAATATAATTAACATTATTCATGACATGTTGAATTGATAATGTTAATTCAGTTCCATTCAGACAGCTTCGTCTCCAGAACTGTTATTTTTAGGAACAGACTCTCAAGAGGATGCTTCCCTGACAACTACAACTTCTTCAAGTCTAGGACCTACAGATATCTATCCTACATATCCACATCATATGCACTTCTTTCTTATTCCCTCCCTCTCCCTTACACCTTTACTACAATTGCACTCACTAAACCTCTACCTTGAGTGGCTCTTTGGCTTCACATTCTGTGAACTAAAATAAAAAAAAAGAAAAAAGAATGAACAGATACTATACTGATCCTCAATATGAGCGATAACCATAGTTAAATACTCCTAATAATTTTTTATGGGTAGTATTTTTCTTTTTCTTTTTTTTAATTTTTTGTTCTAAGTGAAGTTGAATTTGTTATTCAAAAATTCTTGGCTCTGACCAGTCAATTTGCTGAGGCATCAATACTTGACAAAGTTACTTCCCCTTGACATATCCAAGCATGTCACTGAAAATGTCAGGAATATTTATGCAAAAAGAAAGAAAAACGGTAAAAAATGAATTTAATATTTGGTTAATATTATAGGGTCTCAAACGAATATAACTACTTTTGAATTCATAGAATGATGCGCAGGTTAGTTGCATATATTACTAATAACAACATTTATTGCTATACACAGGTTTAGGTTTATTTTGTTGTACGGCATATCAACATATCAATGGGTTATTTAATGCAGACAAGATTTTTAGAATAGATTCGTATGATGTGAATATGTATTCTTTGTAAGAAACTGGTTTGTAGACCAGGTTCCATTGACATATTTTTGTAAAGAGGGTTTTTGTTGAGAATTAAATCTATTGCTGGTAATATTTTTTCTTTTTTCAAAAATGTATTGCTAGTATTTTTACTATAAAAATAGATTTTTATACTTTTATAGTGTTTTGACCCCAGTTTGGGGTTTAATTATTTGCCCAGGGAGGACCTGGGAACAACAGCAATTAGGAGGTGGTTCCACACTCCTCAAAACCTCCCAATCAGAGGCCTTGCTGCTGGATGTAGTTTATCGTCATACCCAGGATGCACTAAACATAAGTTATATAATTTAACATGTCATGGTGAGCATAATTTTGGCAATAAGAGTACATTGTTAGCCTCCCACTACTCTTTCTTATTCCAATGACAGAGCAATAATTATCATCAAAAAACAAAATTATGTATATATTATTATTATTGTGTCAGAGAGTAATTTTAAGTGCTTAATTACCAAGCCCCCTCAGGGGTCTATGTGTAAAAAGGGCAGTGTAGGAGAATTATTATTATTATTAGTACATTTGGGCCTTTTTATTGAGATGGAGAGGGATTTGCAGATGATATATTCAGTTGCACACAAAGTAATCTTTTGTAGCTCTCAGATGCTGATGTGTCCAGAAATTATTATTATTATCATTATTATTACTATTACTATTATTATTATCAATAAATAAAAATACTTATCTGTGACCAATTAAAAGTTTAACACTCCTCTTAAAGAGCCTTAACATAAAGGTTCTAGTTTTATCTTCTGTCTTCTTAATTCTTGTTATTTTATTGTTCTCTCCCCTTAATAATGTTTTCCTTTTTCTCATATCCTTTAACACACAGTAGCCCCTTTCATCCTTGTGGCTTCATTGCCTTGCTTGGAATGAAATGTTTAAAAAAAAATTTAATAAGATGGTGACAAGTAAATATTGTGATCTTTATAGCCATGTTTTTTTTTCTTTCATTTTTTTTTTAGACAAGATCAGGATTAAGCTCACAAAAAGCATGGTGGATCCTGATAGGATTTGTCATATTGATTTGAGGCAAGGATTTACAAGACTGGATGATTTTCCTGATCCCCAACTTGGACACTTACAATACTCCAAGTATACCAAGTGTTTTTATCAAGACACTATCTCTAGCAAGGTTGACATTCAAGGCTTGAAACCACACCTTAGCCGTTTTATATATATATATATATATATATATATATATATATATATATATATATATATATATAAATGTAAAAGACAATAGGAAAACTAATATTAGCCAATGCGTTTCGTCCAATATGGACTTTTTCAAGACAAAAACGAAATGAATTTATTAAAACAAAGTAACTAATAATAACAAAACAAAATGTCCTCAGCAACTGGAAGAATTTAAAAAACGTTATTATATTCATATTGTTAACGGAAAATTATGTCATGTACTGTCACGTGTGGAAATATTGTTTTTATTGTTGTGTTGACGGACACTGGATGAAATGCGTTGGCTAATATTACAGTTTTCTTTTACTTTTATAAATATTGTCTTTTTCTACAGGTTAACTCTGAGAAATTTTTCATATATGTGTATTTATATATATGTGTGTGTGTGTGAGGTTAAGTCAAAAAATATTTGCACTTTCGGTATAACATATCTGTTATGAGTGCTGACATTTTTTTACTTTTTCTCTCACATATATATATATATATATATATATATATATACACACACACACACACACACAGAGACAGACAGGGTGATTGAAAAGTAACTCCCTATTTTATGTATGAATGGCTGGTTAGGCATGCTGACATAACACTCTGTGATTTTTTTCTTTGGGGTTGGTTAAAGGAGGAAGTCTTCTAGAACAAACCAAAACTTAGGAAGAACTTGAAGGGTGAATACAAGAAGTTATGTCTTCCATAACACAAGAGTTCCTGGTGAAATCGGTTGACATGATTCCTGGATGGGTTAAGAACCTGGCAGCAAAATCTGGTGCCCATATTCAATTTTAAATAAAACCTCATGCTAAACACTTTCTTCTTATATCCATTTTTTGTAAAAATGATAATTAATAAATAAATTATATGCATTTTAAAATGGGGAGTTACTTTTCAATCACACTGTATGTGTATATATATATATATATATATATATATATATATATAATTATTTATTTAAAAATATGATTCCAATGCTACATAAGAGTTCTCATGTTTCAAAACAAGAGCCGAAAACTTCAATATCATTAATTGAATTAAAGTACTAAGCTCTATTCCATCTTCAAGCGAAATTTTTTTTGGAATAAATTATTTCTGAAATTTACACGTTTTATAAGCATATTCATTATTGAAATTAAGATTACTATGGTAATGGCTAGAGCAATTGTTTAAAGAAAAGGAGCGTAAAGGTCAATATCTATCAAGCACTATTTTTTAAAAATAATAACAAAAATACTAAAGAACTTTGGATTATTTACCTAATGAGTTCTTTCCTATTTTCTATATATTTTTACACATATATATATATGTGTGTGTGTGTGTGTGTGTGTGTTTCTATATATATATATGTGTGTGTGTGCATATATATATTTATATATGTGTGTATATATATATATGTGTGCATGTGTGTGTATGTAAGTATATATATATATTTATATATATATATGTGTGTGTGAGGGGAAGTCAAAAATTATTTGCACTTTCAGAATAACATATCTGTAATAAGAATGCTTGATCATTATTTTTACTTTTTCTCGCATATATATATATATATATATATATAATGTTAGCCATTAACTCCTATAAGATTATCATCTGCACTTTGATAGGTCTTGTTTTTTGTCCTGTAAGGTGACTTGCCACCTTTCTCACCAACAGGAAAGCTAGAGGGGCTGCTATTTTAGATACCACCCACCCATCTATCCGTGCAGTAGGTTGTACTAGATTACAGGTTACCAGTAGCGAGCATAAGACTGACCTTTCCAAAAAATCAGTTAATGTTTTTATTGATGATGATGAACATTATATATATATATATATATATATATATATATATATATATCCATCCATTATCTGCAAATCTTTTCCTCTCTACATGAAAAGAGAATTTGAAAATATAAAGGAAAATAAGAATGGTTGAAAGTAGGGAATAAAAAGGAAAAATCTATAAAAGAAAAGGTGGGATGGGATGAAGAAGAAAGATAGGTTTGCCAGCTTATTATATTCTTTTACCCCTATGTTATTTTAAACTGGGTAAGGCATTTTTTTTCTTTTTCTCTTGACGCATTATGAACAATTTAGGTAAAGCTATATAGATAGAAATTAACAGAAATCAAAGGGAAATAACTCTGCAAACTTTCATAAATATCAATAAATACTAATTAGTGTATGTATTTCATGTATAATGCAATCCCTGAATTTTTAGCATGAATTTTAACTCGTTCAGAAAATATTTACCTGTGTATAGTGAAAAATGATTTGCATGATTTTAACCTTTTCAAAAAAATTGGGGTGCCTCGTAGGTGTGGTGGAAGAGGATAGCAGGTGAGGCGGAATGAAAGTCAATCAAAGATTTCAAAACAGTTTTAAAATATTCATATGCCATGAATAAATAGGATTTCTAAATTTAAAATATTATTATGGGTTACTTGTAATTGCATACATGAGTCCCAGTATAAACAGTTATAAATAATTATTGACTAATTTTATCACTGTGATATTTTTGCATTATATCAAGTATTAAGAATTTGGAATCCATGGTTATCTCATAAATATATTTTGGTCACATCATTTTTAAAATAATATTATTTTTCATATCTATGTCTTAATTGTTGCTGTTTTAATTTTTTTGAACATTTCTCGACTTATAATGAAAAACAGATCAGAATGAGAATTCAGAGAATCGAGTCTTAATTTCAGTCTGGTTCGTTACATTAACTTATGTGCAAATACCCTTGGGAAAGGTAAGAATCCATCTCTTCTCCCCCTCCCCAGCTTATAGGCTGAACAGCAAGACAGCCTTGCTTGGCAACCAGACTACCACAGAAAGAAACGTCAGTCTACTGTGAGAATTCTTCTGCCTAGTCAATCATGAATTAAAAGAGAAATGATCACCCAAGTATGTATCACATATGGCATTTGACTATGGGGTTATACAAATTTTGTGTGGCACATACAAAATTATTTATTCTCTACTCTCTCTCTCTACCTTTCTATCTCTTGACTTAATAGTAAAAACAATAAAAGTCAATACCTCATTAATTTTATCATTGATTTCATGTCTGTCACGTTGCCTTGATCTCGGCGCATAATTTTTGCTCGAGGTGCATTTTTGTAGGTGAATAAATCTCCATACTGATTGATCATGTCCTGCTGCTTGCTTAGTTTGATAACCTCTGGGAAATACCTGCAGAAATTTCAAAGAAAGAAAATTCAAAACTCATTTCTGAGCAGCTGAGTGAAAAGAAGAAAAGTTAAATGTTGAGGAAATTTACTTTTTTTTTTTCTTAAATTTACTTAAAAAAAGAATTTTCAAATAATTTTGAAATTGTTTCATATACCAATGAAAAAATTCCCATTGGAGACCAAGAAAAAAATTTTAATCACAGCAAATGATTTAAAATCACAATTTTTAATAATAATGATGATCTTGTGGGGGCCGAGTCCCATTTCCTTGTTCCTCTGTGCTATGCAGTCAGTTGTTTATTGAGAGATTTGATCATGCCATGAAATGGTATTAAGAGATCTGAACATACCATGAAATGGTATTAATATTTGAACATGCCATGAAATGGTATTAAGAGATTTAAACATCTGATGAAATGTTATTAAAAGATTTGAACATCCCATGAAATGGTATTAAGAGATTTAAACATGAAATGGTATTAATATTTGAACATGCCATGAAATGGTACTAAGAAACATGAAATGATATTAATATTTGAACATGCCATGAAATGGTATTAAGAGATTTGAACATGCGATGAAATGGTATTAAGAGATTTAAACATGAAATGGTATTAATATTTGAACATCCCATTAAATGGTATTAAGAAACATGAAATGATATTAATATTTGAACATGCCATGAAATGGTATCAAGAGATTTGAACATCTCAAGAAATGGAATGGAGAGATTTCAACATCCCATAAAATGGTACTGAAAGATTCTCTCATGCCTTGCAATGATACTGAGTGATGAACAAAATTTTCTTAATTATAGCTCTTTCATAGGTTTTAAAATTTTGGTAGTCATTTATTTCATATACAGAATTTTATCATTTTTATTATTTGATAGATTTTAAAAATAAAAATATTGCTTACTTCCCTTTACTCCCAAACTCTTCCCTAAATATTAAGTAAGTAATATGAATAATTAAGCAACTTAAATATAAAAGCCATCAGCAAAACAATGACTTATTTATAAAGATCATTAATGGCTAATCTGGAAATGAATAACAAAGATATTTTCAAGACTTTATTTTTTAAAACTAAATATGCAAATTAGTTATCCAATCCAAATATGCAAATCACATCCTTCATCAGATTTACTATGCTCATCTCCAATGTGGAAATTCCCAAAGGACCCATGAGTTGCAGAATTAAGTATCCAGTTCAGTCACAGGGGGTCCATCTAACAAGACAATATCTTTCACTTAAGAGAGGGAAGGATAATGGCCCTGGCCTCCAAAAGCAGAAGAGGAGCGGAACAGTTTTTGGTTTCTAATCCCATGTACACATGACGCCTTCACTTTAACCTCAGGCTTGTTCATCATTCATTTTAAAGCAGACATTCCCATCTACCAGGTTGTACCACTCTCAAGGGGGGGGATGGTCAGGATTAATCCCCAACATTCAAGGTGTTCCCAAATGGAAAATGATGAGGAAGCTTCAGCAATTTTTGCCCTGGGTTCCATACATGCATTGACCTCCTACTTTCAACTATGTATTATGCCATATTCTATTCAAGGGGGTGTATGAATAAATACACCCATCAAACTGGGTCAGGGTGTCCCAATAAGGAACTGAGAAATTTGTGCTCCATGTGTATGTGGGGAGCTACACTAAACTGTTAATAAACATTTATTTTCTAATTTGCTCTCATGTGGAAGTAGATGAAAAAAATAAAATTGCTTTTATTTGATGTCAGCTTCAAGAACTCACACACTTTAGAGATCCTTGATAAAACCTAAAGAATCTGCAATGTTATTGGTCCTGATCTGGCATCTCAACATCAATCACTTTGCCACCACTGTAATGTAACTTCCCTGTGCCTTTTCTATAAATACTTTCAAGGTAATTGTTCTGCTGAACTTTCCTCTATAGTACTTAGGCTCTATGAATTTAAACACAGTACTAGATTGGCAGTTGGGTCTCATCATTTTACAGCTGAATTGGCTAGATGTAACCATAAGTACTATGTTAACAGTTTCTTCTTTCCTACTTTTTGCTTGTGGAACTCTCTTCCAGCTCCATGCTTTCCAGCCAACTTTGATCTTCAAAAATTTAAATGCAATGTCAATCATTATCTAATGTCTTCTTGATTACTCTTATTGTTCTCGCTACTTAACAATGCTTCTTATTTTTTTTCTTTCACACTCAGTAGACCCCCTCCCCGAGTCTTAGTGGCTTTATTACCTTGCTTGGGGTAATATGATTAAAAAAATATATTAGTTGATTATTAAATTTTAATTCATAAAACATTAATTGAGAATTTTGTTTTAATCTTGCTTGCTATCTAAAGTGTCACAAGCAAAAAATTAATTTCAACACACAGAATGTAGTTTTAATTAAAAGTGAAAGTAATTTATTAATAAATGAATCTATAGGAAGTGCAATGATTACTGAGTATTTCACATTGTATTTACATCCAAGTTCATATAGCATGGCAACATTCTTAAAAAAAGTACTGCCAGTGAGATATTAAATACAACAGTGATAAAAAAGAAAATTGTGCACATAGACACATCAGATGTCAAGAGCATGAAAATTATACTTATCATCAGGAAGAGACAGTTGCAATTTCTTGGGCACATAATGAGGAAAGATGGATTAGAAAATCTGATACTCACAGGACAGATTGAAGACAAGATGGACAGAGGAATACAATGTATAACATATTTAGTGAATCTGAGTAAATGGATTGCAGAACAGGGTTTAGGAGAAGTAACAAAAAGACAAAATCTATTAAGAGCTACAAAAGACAGGAAGTCGTGGAGAGCTATGATTGCGTATGTCGTGAGGGGACATGGCACATAAAGAAGATGCCAAGAATTTAAAATTAAAATTGAAAGTTAAGCATCTTCAGCATTTCTCTTGTATATCTATCCTACAACAAAACTGACTAGTCCCATTCAATGCCTCAAAAACTAAACTTATGGCATTCTATTATTGTCAATTGAGAAGCTGGAAAAATGGTCAGTTCCCAGTACCTCTCCAGCAAGTACCTGATTCCACTTGCTATCCTTTACCTTTATCAGAACTGAAAATGGAGTACTATTGCCATATATGGGCAGGAGCTGCCCAGTCTTCACTTTCCAGTCTTTGTAGAGTCCAAAAGCATCTTGTGGATTACAAATTATTTTCCATCCTCCACAGACAAAATGTCACAAGCCTCTTGCTTCTCTCTCGCTATTTCCATGGAAAATGTTCAGTGTTATACCGGAACGTACCTATTCTATTGTAAATAGACTCAGATAAGTAGTAGTAATAGCAGTCACAGATAAGTAGTAGTAATAGCAGTCACCAGTGGAGCTGAGTGAGTTGTGTGAGTCAGTCGATGTCGGACATTAAAACATGAGCCCCACAACTAGATTGCTGTGTCATTAACTATTATTGCAAGTTCCTAACGTTTTGTACGTCGAACCTAATTTAGGACCGACTTAGTGAAATACAAGCCTCCACTGTGAAAACTACTCTACAACATTCAGACAAACTACATTCCTTAGTTCCACAAGTTCTAACCTTCACAGCGAAGACCCGTCATGCTATACTTGTTATATATATATATATATATATATATATATTAGATTCAAATCCAACAGCAATCACTCTTTAATATACATATAAAAACAAACTGACAAATGCTATTTGGTCTCTGGTCATCAGATCTGATGAAATAATTTAATTTACTGCCTCTTTTATATTAAAAAATCCCAATGCATTTTTCTTACAACCCGTCTGAAATTATTAGGCAAATCATATAAACTTCAAATTTGGTTTGAAAAAAAATTGCCAAATTTTAAACAATGTAGATGTCAAAACAAAGTCAAAGTTAAAATTTTAGGTAGTATCAATGTCTTATTGAAGTTATTTGATGTAACTGCCGTCTGAAGTTATTAGGCAAAACCAAATAGTTAAACTGGTAATAAAATCAGCAAAAATTTATCAATAACTATAACAGAACAAATAACCACATGTGATAAGTCTTTGAATCTTTTACATTTTAATATGGTGACCCTTCTTCTCAATAACAGCCAGTAATCATTAATTTTGTTAATTGTTTTTACTTCATCAGGTTCAATTTCCGACATGGTGGTTTTAATTGCTTCCCATAGGTCTGCTTTGCTGTTATATTGTTTGCCACCTTCACAATTGACTATAGATTTTTGACTGGATTCAGATCAAGACTTGATGATTGCCATTTCGTTATCTTCCCTGTAAACATTTTATCTCAAATAATTCATGGGTAGGCTTAGATACATGAAAAGATACATTGTGGTGCATAAATACAGACTTCACTTTGAAACTGCAAGACTGAGACTTGGTCTTGCTCATAAAATCGCAATAGTTAGCACTGTTCATTTTAACTGCTTTATCAACATTGAATGGTCCTATAATGATTTGGTCAACAATTCCAGTCCATATCATAACACTACCACCTCCTTGTTGCCTTCTTTTAGCCACAGGCATGCCTGAATCGGATGAAATCCATCCTTTAGCCCATCCATCATGTCCATCAAATATCACACAAGATTTGTCTGTAAAAATTACTTTAGAAAAAGCAATTTTCATGGATTTCTTGGCCTAATTTTAATGCTTTAAAATATTTGCTTTAGTAGAGGATGTAATTTTTTTACAGATACCAATTCACAAAGTATTCTACACCTTTTGTCCTTAACTCCCTCAATTCCAGCCTTTTCAAAGATCTGAGCGCTGGTCAAAAGTGGTTGTTTTGCTATAACTCACTTTAGTTTACATTTATCTCAAGGAAGCAAGTTCTTAAAGCCTTTTCCTTTGTTTCAAGTTCTCAACTTATATTTTCAACAGCTTTCTTTATCGTTCAATGATCTCTGCAAAGCTCCTTTGATATCTCCAATGTGAACAATCACTCACTCGATAACTATGTTATTTTTTATTTTTCAGCAGTCGTTAGATCCTTGCCTTCACCTATGTTTCAACATATAT